TATATAGATATAGATATAGATATAGATATAGATATATAGAGATATAGATATAGATATAGATATAGATATAGATATAGATATAGATATAGATATAGATATATACACAGCCACTGCTCCTAGGTGATTTTCCCACTGCTTAGATGTCAGGTATTTGCCAGTGACTAAAGTCTGACTAAGTTCACCAGCCTTTGTGGCCCCATATGCTCTTTAAGTTAATCATTACTGTGGCAATTTTTATATGTATGTGTTGAAGCATGATAATCTGACAGATGACTGCGATGTATCCATTCCAATCAGGGCAATTACCTATGAAGGTTCCACTGGCTAGCCATGGGTAGCCACATGGCCCTAACAAGCACCATCTTCTCTCTACTTGGACAATATCCCCCATGCTGATTTTGTTGCCTAAGACTCTGGCTCTGCCATTGATGTGTAAAAGACTTTGGAAAAAGCCTAAAATCTCAGTTTCCTCGTCAAATAAAATGAGGGTGGACAGCAAGAACACCCAGAACATGCTTTGTACAGTTAGGATGCACTTTTCAGCACACCTATAGGAAGTGGCTGCTAACTGCAGGTACAGATCGTTATTGTTGCTTCTCCATAGGAATCCGATTTCTTCATCGTGTGCTCTCCGAGAATGACACGTTAAGACTCACCCTAATGGTGAGGTCATTTGTTTTCCGCCTCTTTGCATCTTTAAAATGAACTTGGGTTTTTTTTTTTTCTAAATAACTTGTCTATGTTTCTTCTGTGTAGTCTAAAGTATGTGGTCAGTGAGACGGTCAATGTTCGCTGAAAGCATTTGATGTTTTACCTATGAAAGTGTTGCTGGGGTCAGTCATGCCTGGCTATGGAAGCTTGTAAAATATTTCAGCAAGATGTAGGTACCTGTCTAGATGAGTGACAGGTGTGAATGCTGCTGCGAAGGACAGGCGTGTTTTGCCCATAACTCTGCACCAGTTCTGGAGTTTGGTTACAACTGAGACATAGGATGAAGGCAACCCACAAGCCCACTCTGGCTCACGGCAGTCAGGGAAGCAGCGAAAAGTCTCCTACAGAGTACCTCTGCAAAAATCTTCTCTGCTGTCCTTGAACTGTTTCCTTCAGAAGCTGCATCCCCAAATCAAGAGCTCTAGCATCAATGATGTAAAATACAATCATAAATTAATTAGTGCCTCATACTGTGTCTGTATTTAGACCTGACTTTCACAGCTTGAGGTGCATGAAATACTAAACATATTTTTCAGCCAATCAATCTGATCATGTAACAGATGGAGAGATGACAGCTAGGAAAGCAACCAGTGCAACCTAGAGAGATATGTATGAACACGTGCACTATGCTGTGCAGAGTTCTATAGCATCTAGTATTCATACATCCGAATGAATGCATAGGTGCTCTCTTGCTCTCTCCATCACTTATACCATCTTCTATTTGTATTATATTACCCATTTTTAACAAGGTCTCCTACCCCAAACAACCCAGGAGAACCTCTCCCTTCTTCATATCAGCCCCTTTTGTTCATGCCATAGAAACTGTTCCCTGAAATGATTTTCTTGCACGCTCATTTCCTTGGACATCATTGTTCTGTCTTAAAGCTCCAAGAAGGGAGGCAATTTGGCTCCTTTGTGTTCTGAGCTCCCAGAACTTTGAATGGTGCCTGGAACCAGGCAGCTCTTCAACAGACATTTGTTGGGTAACAGAATAAAAACAAGAGGACAGTTAGGAAGCTGCAAGAAGGAGGAAAGACAATGGGTTTGTGCTCAAACTAAAGCACAGAATCATGCCCAGCCTACTCCCCAATAACAGCATTCCCCCACGACAAAACCTTCCCTCCCATATTCATTCAAGTCCCGCCCACCCCCACCTGAGTCCAGGAAAGAGAGTCATCATCTACTCAACTGCTCTACCCCAAACATGGTCCCACCACGACACTACCTTTCCTCACTCACCCCAATATCCAGGAAGTCTCTCTGCTGCCTTTGCTTTGAAAGTACACCCTATTGGAACTCCTTCCCTCCTCCCATCATCCTCTGGGTGTCACTTCTCGACCCCATCAAAATTTGAGCCTTTCTGCTCTTCCTGATAGCCTGTTTCTCCCAGTCTCATGTCTCCATTAATGCCACTAGCCACATTGAGCAGGAGTAAGTTTTCAGAAGCTGGCACTGGCTGGGAGGCAGTGTCACACAGTGGTTAGGAACATGGCCTCTGGGGCTGGGGACATGGTCCAGTGATAGAGTGCTTGATTTCATGTGCAGGGCCATGGGTTCCAGTCTCAGCACTGCCAAACATGCTGGTGCCTCATGTTTCACTCTCTGTAACTGTTCTACTTGTAGACTGGGGAGCATTTATTATTTGACTCTTGGATCCTTAATTTTTCTATCACAAATTTCAATTTGAAAATAATAACAGATTTTGCCAGAGTTTCAAATCAGTTAATATCTATAAAGTCACATGGTAAACCTCCCTATGTGTTAGTGGTAGTTAGTAGTATATCACTCTAGTACTTAAATCCTTTCAAATATTCCTTATTGTGTTAAAATAAAATTTTAACCTCTTTCTTATGGTCCTTAAGATCCTTTATGGTGTGGTCTCTAACCCTCAAGTCCAATTTTTCTTTCTTTTTAAATAAGGTTTATTTTATTTTTAATTGTGTGTGGTGGGGTGAAGGGTGCATTTAGTTGCAGTACTCACAGGGGCCAGAGGTAACAGATCCCCTGGGGCTGCAGTTACAGGCAGTTATGGTCTATCTGACCTGGGTGCTGGGAACCTAGCTCTCATCATATGGAAGGGCAGCAAGTATTCTCAACTGCTGATCATTTCTTTAGCCTCAAATCCCACTTTTCAAAGTTGCAGCAGCACTGGCCTCTTCTCTATCCCCAGACACCTCAAACTCCATTGTTGAGGAACTGGTAGCTGGTCTCGCCTTGCATGCTTCCTTTCCTCTCTTTCTTTTTTTCCTTTTCCCCTTCTTTTCTCCTTCCTTCCTTCTTTGTTTTGTGACAGCTTCTCACTGCATATCTCTGACTCACCTAATCCTTATTATGAAGCCCAAGGTAGGCCCAAACTCCTGGTAATCTTCCTGCTTCAGCCTCGAGAGTGTATTGGCTCTTTGCTTAATCTGGACTGGTCTTCCTTAGATCTGTACATGCCTGTCATCTCTTTCTTGATCACGTTTTTCCATTAACTGTCTGGACTTGTGATTTCCAATATGGAAGCCTCTAGACATGTGTAACTATTTAAACTTAAATTAGCTACAATCAAAGAATCAATTTCTCAGTTGTATGAGCCACATTTCATTTGCCCAGTAGCACAACCAGCTACTTGCTACTTACTGTTTTGAGACGTGGATGCAGAACATTTTCTTCATTACAGAATGTTCTATTTCATGGCACCTGTCTGGACTTTTGTGCTCCTGTGTCATTTATATATCACTTAAAAGTTGTCTCTAAAAACACTTTGATGATTAAAAACAGCACCTGCCTCAATTCATGTTTTGTCTCATTGTTCTGTTTAATTTCTCCATCCCACTTTGTGTTATTGGTCAAGTTCTGAAATTATCTAATTAAACATTGGTTCATACGACTGCTGATGCTTTCCCCACCTGAAATTAAGCTACACAATAGCAGAATGCTATCTTGTTCATTGTTGATCTCTGTTACCAGTATAAATCACGACACATTATGAATGTTTAATAAATGAACAGATGATTAAGGATAATAAATGAGTGACTCCTTGATAGACACAATCACATTCTCTCTCTCTCTCTCTCTCTCTCTCTCTCTCTCTCTCTCTCCT